ACTGCACCCTGACTGGCTCATCTCTTCCTTGTGACCCATCTGTAAGGGGATGTCCAATTGTCTTTAGGTGGACTTTGGGTCTCTGCTCTGCACTTCCCCTCATTCACATTGATAAGATTTTTTGTTTTGGGTCTTTAGTGCCTAATACCTGATCACATCGACCTCATGATCACACAGGCTGGTGTGCTTCGTCCATGTGGGCTTTGTTGCTTCTCAACTAGATGGCCGGTGTTTGTCTTCAAGCCTTTAAGACCCCAGATGCGATATCTTTTGATAGCCGGTCACCATCAGCTTTCTTCACCACATTTGCATATGCATCCATTTTGTCTTCAGCGATAATGTTGGGAAGGTGAGCATCATTGGAATGCCAGGTTAATAGAACAAAGTGTTCTTGTATTGAGGGAGTACTTAGTGGAGGCCCAATGTCCATCTGCTACCTTAATACTAAACTTGTACATCTATGTACTTAGATTTATTTCCCTATCATTATATATAAATATATTTACATATGCACATACCTGTATTTATCCCTCTGTAAATGTCCTTTGCGTCCTAGTTCTTTCCTTTGTTTCCTTTTACTTTCCTCTTGTCCTACCATTATGCTTGGCCTACATTCGGGTTTCAGTAATTCCTCTCGGTTACATTGTCCTTCATCAAGCCTTACCAGGCATCTTATGTCCTCCTTTCCATCTACTTTAGATCACTTGTTCCCTTGTCCTTGGGTTTGTTAACACCCACTTCCTTCCTCCCCTCCCCCTCTCCTATGTTGCCCTCAGAACTGTCAGTTCCATTGTTTTCTCCTCCGATTTTTTAATCCCGCTTATCTTATCCAGATAGACATGCAGAGACAATAATAAGTACACACAAAAAGAACAAAACAAAACAAGAAAAGAAAACAACAACAAAAACCGATGGCCAAAAAAAGAGAAAAGCCTATGAATAGTTCCAGGTATGTTTGTTGACCTTTAGGAGTGTTTTCTGGTCGAATCTGATGGAGTGCCACACCCTGACCCCAAAGTCTAATTTTTGTATTCTTGGCGACTTTTTTGCTTTTTCTCTCCTTGCTGCTCTGTTGCACACCCTTAGCATTTAGCCTGGAGTGGTGGGGTCAGATCTGGCACAGTTCCCTCACTGTGCCTCCAGTGTTGTCCCTCGAAGCGCTATGGACCAGTGAGGGGCGTTGTGTCTTGTGGTGGGGTGGGCCCTATGGTCCTCTTTGTGCATTGGCTGCTCTGAGCAGGAATATCATCCTCGGGGCTTGGTGCGCCCAGGATGTGTACCGTTCTCTCTTTCCCTCACCGTTTGCTCCTGTGTGCTCTGATCAGACTCGCCCCTCTCCCTGAACTGTAGCTTCAGTGCTGTCCTCTGAAGTGAATTCTTCTGGGGAGAGGTGCTTGTCCATGTGGTTGGGATTGGGGCCAGTCCCAATTTTGATTTTCTACATTAACCAGCTTTGATGATGATTATTAATTAGTTTTAAATAGGCACATAATAAGAGTCCTGGTAGTACAGTGGTTCAAACTTAGCTACTAAACAAAAAGTTGGAGGTTCACACCCACCCAGCTTCTCCACAGAAAAAACACGTGGCTTCTGTAAAGATTACAGCCTAGAAAATCCTGTGGAGCATGTGAGCAAAGTTGGATCAGTGAAAAAGAGCATGTGAGCAAAGTTGGATCAGTGAAAATCCTGTGGAGCATGTGAGCAAAGTTGGATCAGTGAAAATCCTGTGGAGCATGTGAGCAAAGTTGGATCAGTGAGAGAGGTGAGATGGACCTGATACCATGGATGGACACCTGTGGCGTCTTTTTTCCCACTGGAAAGGAAACATGATATGTCAAGTATGGGCTCTCATTGCAAGCTGAAGTTGACATTGTAAATGGCAGAGTGGAGACATGGAAATAATTATGGGGCCCGATTATGTGGCTGATTCTGTGAATCAAACTTAAAAGCCTACCTGGTCTCTAGACTTCTTGTTATTTCAGATGATAAATCTTCCTATCTTAAAAAGTAAATAAATAATGACTGCACATAACCCACTGTTGGCAGAGAAGTAAACCTCTGAGAAGTTCCGAGGACTACTACACCCTTCCTCTCCACCCACCTACTGTCCATCGTTCTAGTATGTTTTAGTGCAACAGTGTCTCTACATAATTTTAGCTGTATTAGGGAAATTTGGTGAATGTACTTTTCTGACCTGAGTGATTCTCCTTCTATCCCAAGTCCTTTTTAAACGTTTTATTCTCATCTTTGACAGTGGCTTGAACCTGGCACCTGTAGCACGACTAAGAGGTACATGGGAAAAGTTACCAAACAAGTATGAGAAGCACCTTCAAGATTTGCAAGACATTTTTGATCCATCCAGAAACATGGCAAAGTACAGAAATATTCTTAGCAGTCAGAGCATGCAGCCTCCAATTATCCCACTGTTCCCCGTTGTCAAGAAGGATATGACATTTCTACATGAAGGTAACTTGAAATTTTGGAAGTTTAGCTTCAGGTCATTCTACAGAATTGTTATAGTTTCAAACATAATAATTACATATCACAGATAAACACCTTTTAGGACTCCAAATTTAAGTGTTTACCTTTTGCAAAGCAATCAAGCTAAAATAACAACACTGGTCTCTGTCTTATAATTTTTGTGTTTGATAATGTTCCTTGAATTCTTCCTTTATTGAAGGACAAACAAAACAATGAATTAGAAACTAACCCCCAGCCTAGAAGCCCTACTCACATTCCTTCCCAAAATACTACCCTCTCTGCAAACGTAAATGTTATCCTGATTTCCAATATTTTGCTTTCCTTTTGCCTGTGTGACTTTTACTAGTTTTGGGAAATTCCAAAGCATCTTGTCTTCAAATTTTTTGTTTGCTCTTTTATTTACTCTCCATTAAGAACTCTGATGGTCACCTTTGCTAGACTTGTCGCTGTACCCCTAACATCTGTCTCTGATCAGTATAATCTAGATCCTCTCTGGGTCATTCTGTAGTCCCTTTATTTCCTCTCGAATTTTAATCATGTTATCTTTTATTTACATGTGTCTTGTTGTTAACAAAGCAATGGACATTGTCATTAAGATTTTACAAAAATAGTAAGATGTTGGAGATGATTCCATTCTTCCAGAGAGTAATAAAACTTGCTCTGGACAAGCAACCTAGGGGTGGAAGTAATCTATAAAAATGTTGATATAATTTAGCGCTGGTATACATTGAGTTCATCCTTCATCCTAGAAGTTGAAGCCCTTCAGGGCTTTGGTCTCCAAAGCATTGAGGATTTACCTCAACTTAAGCTGTTTTTCTCTCACCTAAAAAGGTTCAGTTGTCCTGCTTTGTTTTATGTTTTGTCCAGCTTTTTATTTGTTATGAGTAGAAGGATTAATCTGAATTACAAAATCTATTCTTCCAGTATAATTTATTTTTAATAAGGATATGTTATTCTCCCTCAAAACAGATGTACATTACTTGAGTACCTTGATCAGTTAGCTTTTAACTAGCGTGGATACCCTGAAATATTCATGTCTAATATATATGCTCATTGTCATTGAGTTTATTCCAATTCATCGTGACCCTGTAGGACAGATTAGAACTGCACCTATGGGTTTCCTAGACTATTAACTCTATGGGACTTGGAAACCTCATCTTTCTCCTGCAAAGTGATTGGTGGCTTTAACATTAGCAGCCCCCTGTGTAACCCCTACACCACGAGGGTTTCTTCTAATAGATAGCTCCTGCTAACTGTGAGATAGAAAACTATTCATGCTTCTGACTGTATGGTTCTCACACTTGGCTTCAGGGCCTTGGACTCCCTTAACGGTAATTTAGGGGCTGCTGTGGAGAATGGACTAGGATTAAGTCCAACTATTAAAGATACAGTTCTGGGCATCAGCTTGACCTTTGAACATGTAATTTTTGCTTTGTAGTTTAGCTTGGGTAAACCAACAAAGAGGCTAAGTGTGGCTTCATACCTAATCTTTTGAAAGAAAAGAAGGCCATTTTGAAAGCTGCTTGGACTCGCTTCTTAGCAAACTATAACAGAACAGAAACACAATTTAATAGAACATGTGAACCAGTACTGCGTTAGTGATTAAAGTCATCATTGTAAATTTACACACACTGAGAGGGGAAAGTGAATGGAGGTTGAAGAGTGTATTCCTGTTGGATGGGATCTTCAATGTCTTAAATATTGACAACTTACTTAATCATTTTTGTAATATTGTCACCCAAAGAAAACTTATTTACAGGCTGGATTTAACTATCGCCCAAAAATCACCACTTGTTTTCAAGTGCTATACCCTTGCTGTCCTAGAGAGCAGATACAAGTCCTTCATTGCAAATGGACTAGACTAGACGTCTAGAGAGGTAGATTTGAGGGGCTATATATTTTATAGGTTTGCTTATAAAATTATGAGATTACATTTTTTAGCACTTTCCTACATTCATAATATTCCTATAACCAACAGAATCTTTCCTAGTATCGAGCTCACTTTCAGGGAGTAGGCTTTGGGCAGTGCCGCAGGACCAGGCAGTATTTTGTTCTGTTGTGCATAGGGTCACTATAGATCAGACCAGACTCGTTGGCACCTCACAATAACAACATAGATTTAGTAGTTCTTATAAATAAAAGTTAAAATCCGATAAGGTTTTGATCTGTACCACCACAGGAAAACAACTTGACTTCTGCCACTTTTACATGTTGTTGATGGTCTTAGGTTTCACTGAGTCAGTTCCAGTGAAAGAAGCCCTGTGTAACTATAACAACTGTGAGGATGGCACAGGACCAGGCAATGCTCTGTTCTATTCTGCATAAGGTCTCATGAGTCAGTACAACAAAAGTGCGCAGGACTGTGCCGTTTGCATAATCATTGCTATGCTTAATCCCATTGTTGCAGCCACTTGTCAGTCCCTCTCATTGAGATGCTTTCTCTTCTGTTGCAGATCCTTTACCAAGCATAACATCCTTCTCCAGGGACTGATCCCTCCCGACAACTTATCCAAAGTCTCTGAGACAGTCTTCATTGTCTCATTTCTTAGGAACATTCAGGCTGTACATCTAATACCTTTATAGAGAGATAGATTAATATTGGAAATTAAATAATTATTTTTATTTTTAGGAAATGACTCCAAAGTAGATGGCTTAGTAAACTTTGAGAAGCTCAGAATGATTGCCAAGGAAATTCGTCAGGTTGTTCGAATGACTTCTGCTAACATGGACCCGGCTATGATGTTCCGGCAGAGGTATGGCATTGAATTATGTAAATGCGCTGAAGAGTGGTATGCAGATTGATTCAGAGCCATGTATTTACTTACTGACCATCTCAGTCTGTGGGAGCTGCAGGTGGTTGATGTGATTGGTCACTGACCAGGAAGCTGGAGGTCTGGGTCCACCCAGAGGCACGTTAGGAAAAAGACCCTGCAGCTACTTCTGAAAAGTCAGCCATTGAAAACCCCACAAAGCATCTTTCCTCTGGCACACACCACGTTCCCGTGACTGGTCTTCCGAGTATATAGATTTTTTATTGTTCTTTAAAAGATCAGCGGATTTAAGCCTAAACAAATTGCTAATCTTTGCTGTACTTATGCTTTTATCTGGTCTCCAAGCTAAACTGTGAAGTCCACACATGCCTATTACTTTCACAGAATATTTTTAAAGTTTTATCTCTAACTAATTTATACTTCAGTCTTATAAAAATCTAGTCCTTGTTCTCAAGCGATACTACTACTGCTATTTTTTAGTAAAGTGTTTGATATGTTGTTGTTGTGCCATTAAGTCAGTTTCAATTGTAGGGCAGAATAGAACTGCTCAACAGAGGTCCTTGGGCTTAATCTTGATGAGAAGATTGCCAAATCTTTTCTCTCGCAGAGGCATTGGGTGGGGCAAACTGCCAATCATTTCGTTAACTGTCGAGTATTTAAAAATTAGGGCACTGGGGTTCCTTTCAGATCCTTTATAAATTGCACGTTTAAAGATATTCCATCTTTAATAAAAGTGGTATTATTTGTAACCTTATCTTTTAAATGTTTATTTAAAATTCACTTTTAATGTAATAAGAAAATCCACTGGCATTCAGTCGATTCCAACTCATAGTGACCCTATAGAGTTTCTGAGACTGCCAACCTTTATGGGGCAGGTCGCTTCATCTTCCTCCAGCAAAGCAACTGGTTGGTTTGAACTACCAGCCTTGTGGTTAACAACCCAAAGGCTACCCCACAATTACAAAAAAAACTGTAAAATTACCAAAATTGTCAATTTGTTCTGTAATCACTGAAATTTTCAGAGTAAATAGACACCAGTGTTTTAATTTGGGCTCATTTTGCCTCTGTGCCTATATGTTTAACATCTATTACTAAGGGCTTTGAAAAATAAAACACTTGCAAAGACATACACAATTCCTGTAGTTTAAAAATATATACTCTGCTAGAGAAATCAACGCAAACTCACTGCCATCCAATTGATTCTGTCTATAGGACAGGATAGAACTGCCCCCATGGGTTTCCAAGACTGAGTCTTTACGGGAGTAGAAAGCCTCATCTTTCTCCCTAGGGGCGCTGGTGGTTTCTTACTACTGACCTTGTGGTTAGCAACCCACATTGCACTGCCTGGGGTTCTATACTAAGGAAACAAAGTATTTTCTTCTTTAAAAGTCACAATTGAACTTTTTGTAACCAAACAGTGTGTGTAGGGATCTTTGTTTTGTTGTTTGTTTTGTTCTGTTTTGTTTTAAATCACTGTTCAGGAATCTTTGTTTTAGTAAGTAGTTGATCTCATGGTTCCTCTAGTTCAGAGACCCTCAAAGTCTGGAGAAAGGGATAGATCCCTAGTCTCTTCTTTCTTACCCATCTCACTTCTGCCCTTGAGAACCACTACACATAACAAGAGCTGTCATTGCTCAGCACTCTGGAGGCAGAATCAGAACCCGTGATCAAAGCAAACCTGCAGGCATGTTTCTTTGTTTGGGGGTTGTTGCATGTCTAAAAGCTGTTCAATGCCCCTCACCACCCGTTGTCTTACATCAACCTCCATTCCCGCATATATGTTACCAGCTTGGAATGTGCACTTCTGGCTCTTCCAACCCAGTTGATAATGCAATAAGTACCAGCTACACTTCAGAAAGGAACAAAGAAAAAAATTTATAAGGAAATGAATAAAAGCCGATGTTCTTGGGAGTGGACTGTGCTGAGTAGGATAAGAGAAAATGAAAGTTTTTTATAAGGTTCAGATTACAGTGAACCTTTCCCAAATCTATTTTACCAGCCAGTAATGAAATGCAGTATCTTTCTTTGAGCAAATAATTGTTCGTTTTTGTGGTATGTATTAACTAGTGTGGACTCGATCCCAAAATCCAAACTCACTGCCATTGAGTCCATTCTAACTCAGAGCAGCCCCATAGAGGGTTCAGAGGGTTTGTCCATCTTTCTAAGAGCAGGCAGCCTCATCTGTCTCCCACAGAGAGCCGCCGATGGGCTTCAACCTCTAACCTTTCGGTTAGCGTTCTAACACCCAGCAGAATTCCCTTTTATTTTAATATAATCAATTTGCTGACTTATGACTATAGCAACTATTTTATCAAGAGAAACATTGATGGCATATTTTTATTTACATTTTAGATTTGTTCACAAATTCCTATCGGATACATTGGCAGAGAAATTCTGAATTTCAAAATAAAATTATAAATCTTCCTCAATGTTCCTTATAATTTCACCATACCACTTACATGAATGACTTTAAATATTTTCAGTGGGGAAGGCTCAATTCCTTTCCTTTAAAGTTTTCTTTCCTAAGAACTTTGTAGTAAGTTAATGTTTGTTTTTGTTTGTTTTTTCTCTAATGTGATTGGTCCAAAACATATTTTTCTTAATATTTTTTAGCGGCTCTAGCTCACATCTTAATGCATCTTATACCCCACCGCCCCCCACCCCCTGCCACTACCACCACTACCCTGCATTCCATTAAAGTCATTTTACTGTTAAGCGTCAACCTTATTCTAGTAAAGTTTTTCTGGTCTATTCTGTCTGCATAGTTTCTCTGACTTTCACCTGTTGTCTTTTTCCTGTGCTTTCCTGTTCAAACACATGCTTCAATGTTTGTGGCTCTTGCTTACAGGAAGAAGAGGTGGCGGAGTCTGGGGTAAGTGTAGAAATGAACGCAACTGGAATGAAAGTTGTGCAACTCTTAACATATACTGCATCCTTTTCATTAATGCACGCACCAAAAACAGCATGCGTTCTATTAACCCTGTCAGCCTACGTTCCTGACAAATGCCTTTTGCTAACAAGAAAATTAGTGATAGAGCTAGCCTTTTCTTTTCTTGTCTTTTTTAACTTTTCCATTTTTGATGTCCCATAACGCCCTTCTGCATTTTAATTTAGCAGTATCAGTTAAATAATTATGATGATAGTGACTATTTCTTTTGCCCTTGCTATATGCCAGGAATTGTTCTAAGCACATTAAACAAATGAGCTTATTTAATTCTGCATCCACCCTACAACCAAACCAAACTCGCCACCATCAAGTCAGTGCTGTCTCATAGCAACCCCCTGTGGGTTTCCGAGACTTAACCATTTACAGGTGTAGAAATCCTGGTCTTTCTCCCAAGGAGCTGCTGATTGTTTCAAACTGCTGACCATGCAGATCGCAGCCCAACACGTAACAACACCAGGGCTGCTCCACCATACAAAGGAGGTACTATTATTAGTCCTATTAAACACATGGAAAAGAGAGAGTCTCCCAAAGTCTTAAATTTCAAACCTGAATTTAAGCCATTTTATTTTCTTGTATGTAAATATATAAATGTATTAAAATTAATGGGAGGTGTGATGCACTTCACATCAGTTTATTAAAAGAGACTTTTATCCAAGCTGAACTATAAGATTGAGTTCATACATAATTGAACTCTTAAGATCCTCAGATCACTGATAAAACCAGACTTCCTGGATTATTTAAATTTTGTGTGAAATTCTACCTTGAAATAAAACTTCTAAAATCCCGTTTTTTGGCAACTGTGATAGAATTAAAAACTGCTGTCTTTTCAAGTTGACTAAGTCTCTGCTCAAATATAACTAGATATCTAGTTAAGAGTCTAAGAATGTTGCAGATCCTAGAAGTCATCTAATTATTAGTCTTTTCATTTTTAGATAAAAAAGGAGGCCCAGCAATGAGATAGCTGTTTTTGTTTTTTTGTGTGTGTGAGCTACTTTCTATGTGTCTTACTTTAACTGAGTCTTGTCTTTTATGTATGATCTTGCTTTCTGTCAGAGCAAGGTGATCTTGATTCTCCTTCTCTACTTCCTTCCTCCCTGATGTGTGTAATTGGCATACGTTTTTATCTACGTGTACATTTATGTCTTGGTAGAAATGGATCCCTGGGATTACCATGTGAAGAGTATTTGGACCATATATTTCGGTGGGCATTGGGTGTATGAATGACATACTAATAACATCCTCTGTGTGCTCAGCTTGAGAATCATGTGATGCTTGTGGCCTTAAATATTTCTGTTCTTATGTCTGAGTATTTGCTTTCTTGCGGATAACTTAGAAGATATTTTATTATCATTTATCACAGTGTTTTTACCATCTAACAAGCTAATAGAGATTTGTAAATATCCTCTTATTTTGGTTATCAGTTTTTAAAAAATCATTAAACACTTATTGTCATTTGGTCTGATATGTTGGATCTTGATTTGACTGTATTTCTTTGCATTCAAGGCATCAATTGTTGGATACACTATTTTATGATCTTCTAAAAAAAATCACCACAGTGCTTATCATCACTAAGAATTCATAGACTTACTGAAAGAAACTTGGAGGTTTTTATCCTGTAACACCTGTGCATAAATATAAATTAAAACCAAGTAAATTAATTAGGATTTTTTAAAACTCCTTTATATGCAGATATGAATCTTGAATCATTTCTAATGTCATCGTTGTCCTTTTTATCCTTGACACATACGAGTATTGCCTTCAGGCTTAATTAAGTGTGTTTATAATGAAACTTTTCTACAACAAGCTATAAAAGTAACACTAGAACCACTGGTGTTGGGCACTAAGACTGGCTTCCCCAATACATTGTTACTTCCTTCTGACGCCTACTTTGGGAATATTGTTCAACTACTCAGATTCAATCATTTGGTTGCTAGAGCTTAAAATAGTTATTTGTTAACATCATTGTATATAAGCAGTGACAAGGACATCTCTCCTTCTGTCTGACCAATAATAGCAACTGGGAGTTGCCATTGAACGTAAGGCATTGCCTATTTCAGAGAACTTAAAATATGAAAGAAAAAGTACCTTTCAGCGAAGTTTTACTTAATTTATCATCAGAATAGTTGGATTGGAGTGTTTATGAAACTGGATATGTGAGCACTGAAGAAACCATTGAATGGCTGTGGTCTATGTATAATTAGAATGTTTTGTATATTATGGTTCATTTAGAAAACTCATAAATTTATTGTTTTTGAATGATTGTCATGGCAGCTGCCTTTAAAATTAAAATTCTCCAAGAGCCTTGCAAAGACTGGCTTTGTTAGAAAAGACAAACAGCATTACAATTCCTGTTTCCTATTGGCTGTATACGGAGCCAGTGTAGAAGGATGGTTGACAAGGAGAGTAGAGTTGAATAAAGCCGTGGCTTGTTTGAATTTGTGAATTTCTACCTAGCTTTCAGTTCTGTCACATTCAGAGGGATTACAGAAAAGAGACCCCAGATACCCAGTCCTCATAACACCTTCCCATTCTGTGTGCCAGTGGAACCATTGGACAGTTTGGCTGTATTTCTAGTCTCTGATAATACTTAGCTGAATGTAAATGCAATTGTGTTTCACTACTAATATCTTAGTTATTACTTTTTGAGTTTGGACCAAGATCTAGTTATTGATAAACTTGACCAGCATTCTCAGAATGGGCCTGCTGTAGACAGGAATGGTGCTGGCAATAGCATGTCCACAGCAGAACATACAATCCAAAGGTGCCCTAGTACAGATGGACTCGTCCTGACCCAGGCTCTTGCGCTAGGTGCTGAGTATGGATGCCCTCCCGAGCTAGAAAAATAATTTTACTTGTACCTTGGGTTTATATAGACACAAACACACAGGTCTTACAAAATATGCTCAGCAGGGTGAGGGGTGGGGGGTTGTCACCTTATTCTTTTGAATTCTGCACTTTGCCAAATCTTGTTCTTAATTCAAAACATTGCCATGTGTGTCAAATTACTTTTCATTAATGCTTTTATCGTTTAACTTATTTGCATCAGCATGCAATAGCATTAACAGAGCAAAAGTCTTTTACCCTTCAGTGTGCTCCGTATCTCAAGGTTACAACCCTTTTATTGAGATCTCCATCTTCTGACAGGTCACTGAGTCAAGGCAGCACAAATTCAAACATGCTGGATGTTCAGGGAGGTGCTCATAAAAAACGGGCCCGCCGCAGCTCTCTGCTTAATGCCAAGAAGCTCTATGAGGATGCTCAGATGGCAAGGAAAGTGAAGCAGTATCTCTCCAGTCTGGATGTAGAGACAGATGAGGAGAAGTTCCAGATGATGTCTTTGCAGTGGGAGCCGGCATATGGCACCTGTGAGTACCAGCCTCCGAGTTCACACTTGTATAACACTAAAGGGACAACAACATAGTTTATTTCCTTAGAATTATGTGCTGTGCTCCCAAGAAAATTTTTTACTCACAAAAGATTACTGACATGTCCCTAAGCACCATATTATCCTGTTTATAGGATACTCACGCTCATCCCTTCCTGATGATCATCATAAAGCAAGAAAAAGAGGGATAGGTAGTTTATGATTGAAACCAGTAGACAGCATTCACAGCATTCTTCTTTTAAAGTTCTTGTAACATTTGGAACATTGTTAGAAAAATGTACCTTTGTTTTTAAATGAGTAAATGTACATAAAGTATATTTTGGTTTTGGATATCTGATTTTCTTTGCTCTCTAAGTCTGACTTGGGATAGTCACGATCACACAGACTTCTTTTATGCTTTGCTCTTCGTTAAAATTATGACACTCAGAAAAAATTCCATATACACGTTCCTTTAAGTTGGCTTCTGTTTATTTTTGCAAAATTTATTTTTAGATGTTTGATTAAATAATAACTTTATTCCCAAGTCCAAGAACTTTAAGTGATTTCTGAGCATTCCAGGTTTTAGTTCTTCCTAAGAAATTCAGTGTATGTATATAGGTATATATGTTTGGGGCATTTACCTATGAACTTTTTCCTCTAGTTGTCATTAAAGTAAGCTGTTAGTGGGAAATGATTATTGAGAGTAGGGATTATTGAGAGTAGGAAAGTGCTTTTGACTCTTCCGTTTGGAGCCACTGTATGTTGTTCCGTAGCATTGCCTGTTTCAACTTTGTGAGACGGTTTCTAATTCTTGTCACCAAAACCAGACCATAGGTTCCCAAACCTATTTGGCCTTCCCTTGGCTCTTCAAAACCTTTGTTCCTTAACCCATAATCTAAGATAAAGTGTAGATACCAGCTTTTGCAGCTCCCCCTAGGTCAGCAGTTCTCAACTTGTGGGTCATGGCCCCGTTAGGGGGTGAATGACCCTTTCACAGGGGTTACCTGATTCATAACAGTAGCAAAATTATAGTTAATAAAGTAGCAACGAAAGTAATTTTATGGTTGGGGGGATCGCCATACCATGAGGAACTGTATTAAAGGGTCACAGCATTAGGAAGGTTGAAAACCACTGCCCTAGGTCATTCCAGCACCTGGGGGGCGGGGGGGGGGGGGGAAAGAACCCTAATTTAGTTATTATCTCTATATATTCATTATACTGAAAACAGATAAATACAAAAACCAAGAGTCAAGAAGGCTACCAACAATAAAGGGCCTTTTTAATTAGGCTAGATAAATATTAATTGATTGTCATGGATTAATAAGCATTGTTATAAACAATGCTCATCTCTGTGAAGGAAATATACAGGATGCCATGAGAACATAAAGCATGGGTTCCTGACTAGTCACTGCAGGCTGTGAGAATTTCAGGAGGGCTCCCTAAAGGCTGTGAGGAAGTTATCTGAAAGATGAACGGGGCAGCTTTCTGATTTAGGGAATGATTGAAAGCTGATTTAACAGAAACCTAGAGATTGGGGAAAGGGGGAAGGGGTACATCGTTCAAGAAGGCAGGCTGACGCTAGATCCTGCAGGACTGTATAGACCTTATTTATAGACATCCTCGACTCAGGTCTTCATCCTGATAGCAGTGGTAAGTCATCTGAAGGTTTGAGCAGGACATGTGGAGAAGAGAAATTTTTGGTTTATCCTTTTGGAAACACCTGAATGGAGGACAGCTTGAAGGATAGGATACTCTTGCAGTAGTATAGGTGAGAGGATCTTAGCTTGGCCTTGAGAGTGACAGTGGGGATGGAGATAATTAACTTAATAGAGACCAGAATTATTTAGGAAGTTAAATTAATAGACTTTTCTATAAAATTTTAGAGGCAGCATTTTGTAATACTTAAGTAAAATTACTTTTAAGAAATTATTTTTTTTAGAAAATTATATTTTTATGTTGAAATAGATGGTTTTAAAGTAAACATTTATTATTACTGTCAGTGGTAATAACTTCTTTCTCCCCCCTCCTCTGCCCCCCCAAAAAAGTGCAGAATCACCTATTTCTTACTCTTTCCTATTAGTGACCAAGAATTTAAGTGAGAAAAGATCAGCCAAATCATCAGAAATGTCTCCAGTGCCTATGCGGTCAGCTGGCCAAATAGCCAAAGCTCACCTGCATCAGCCCCACAGAGTAAGCCAGGTGCTCCAGGTGCCAGCTGTTAATTTGCACCCCATCAGGAAGAAGGGTCAGACAAAAGACCCCGTCACATTGAGTGAGTATTCACAATAATTCACATTCATGAAATTGAACTATCCAGAGAAATTAGATTGAAAAATAACTATAAATTTAAATACTCAGGAGATCAGCTATTTAATTTGTGTAATGTAGATCATCGTTTCATGAATGAAAAATATTCTTTTTGTGTGTGGATGTTTAATGGCATTATACATTTCTTAAATTGGGACATTAGAATTCCTCTAATATTAAAATCTTTAGATCATCAGAAAACGTGCAGGGATACGTCTTAAAACTTAGTACATTTAAAAGTTTGAAGGACCTTTTATCAGATAACCAATGCAGATACTTCCCGTAAAAACTGAGAGTGGAGATACTAAAAATGATTGTATGTTTTTTTTAATAACCACTTCAGGGATATGTTGTGTAATATATATTTCTCAGAAATAGCACTTTTTTTCTTCTTACTATGCAATGAAGACCTTATCCAAATTACTTTGTTTTAATTGTATGGCTATTTTAGCTTTTTGAGTGGAAGCATGGTTAGATCTGGTTCCATGCATTATACATATAGAACCTGTTGGATTTTATTTTATTTTATTTTGAGATACAAAGTTGAATAAGGATTGCCCCCTCCTTTGCTGGATTTTCAGTCTGATGATATAGACACTTACAGAAACATAGCTTCAGTGCAATGTGTGTTATGTTGTTCCAGAACATAAGATTTTGGGGAATATAGAAAAGAACAAAGGAGAAGGACCTTTTAGCCTAGGAAGGGATTCGGATGAAGGTTACTCAGAAACCAGACCCTGCGTGGTGCCAATGGTTAACATGTTCGTCTGCCAATCAAAAGGCTGGAATTCACAGTCTAGAGGCGCCTCAGAAGAAAGACCCAGTGATTTACTTCTAAAATGTCAGCCTTTGAAATCCCTATGGCGCACACTTTTCTGACACACATGGGGTTGCCATGAGGCAAAAACCATTGGATCACGACTGGTAATTAGGCAAAGGGTCCAGGCAAGTTGCTTCAGACAGAAGAAACAACATGTGTCAGCAAGGAGCTACTTGCAACTTGCTACCCATTAGTACAATGCTGTGTGCAGTGTTGAGAGGCAATAATGATGGTAGCTAACACAAAGCACTGACTGAGTGCCAGGCTTTAAATACTCTATAGTCATATAATAACCCTACACCACAGGTGGTATTGGCCCTCATTCTGCAGAGATGGAACTGTTATGGACTCTAGGCACACTTCCAACTACGATGCAGCCTCCCAGGATGAAAAACAGTGAAGGGTATAGGTATGCCCAAATTGTGACATGCTAAAAGCAAAGTTGTCGGCAGGAAGCCGTTGAAGAAATTTCAGCAAGAGATTATAGTCCAATTTATGATTGAAAGGAGGACTCTAACAAATGTGCTTGACACAATGGATGGCTTGTGATAAGTTGTACTAGCCCCCAATAAAATGATTTTTTTCTAAAAGAAAGGAAAGCGGACTCTAGAGCGTGAGTGGAAGTGGGTGGGGCCTGGGGGCCTGGGTTAGTTTTGTGGCTGTGAAGAGGAAGACCGGGTTGGATGCAGAAGTTGGTGGTATTCAAAGTATGGCACTTGATTTCTTGACATATAGACAAAAATGAAGGCAGACTTCACAGTTGGCAAAAGTTTATACATCATTTGCTGGTGGGACAGAGGGGAAGAATATGACTTGTACAAGGTGGTCCACTTCTTCCCTCCTACTGTAATATGTCTTCTGTTTATGTAACCAAGATGTGAAAATGGCATTTAATTATGGGGTAGTGTGAGTACACTGTGATTCAAACTTTTCCAGTGTCAGGGGCAACTTGTGACTATACTTGTTACTCATCCACATTGCACTTTTATTACTGGTCAAGAGCAATGTCAGAAGCTCATTGAAATCTGTCCAGCGTTGTGACACAGGGCCAGCTAATGGACAAGGGATTAGATTGGACTATGCACAAATGTTTCCAGTGGGCTCCATACTATTTTTCTATAAATTCATGATTCTTTCTGTTGTTTACTTCTCTCCTGTAGTGTGAATGTGTGAATTTAGTGCTCTTGAAAAGGGCTGGACTGACAGCCCTGCAGCCTCTTCTGTATGCCCACAGAGCAGATGCAGCACAGGTAGTGACAGTGCCAACATCCCACACTGCCCCGACCACATGCCTCGCCCTGACTTGGAGAGGCCACCTCTAGAGGGGAGAGAGGAGTTTGAATCCATGTCTTCTCTATTCCGACATTGAACAAACATGTCAATTGTGGGAGGTGGGGCACTGTACTCCAACTGTAAAATTGATTTCCCTTATGCCACAAAGCAAACAATTAAAAAAACCCTATTATAATTTGGTTTGTACTGAATTTGATTAAACAACCTAGAGGTGAGAATCTCTGTGTGCCATTACCCAGTCATTTAGTCCCCGTCTGTCATTTACACATTTCAGTTTACTGCACATCATGGCTTTAGTTATGGAGTCATCTAGGCAACTGGCAACATTGTAACTGCAGAACGATCATTATTTACTTCCTTTGTTTTATTTTTAGGTACAAGTTTACCTCCCAAAATCATAGGAGCAAGTGAAGAAATGAGTGGTCGGAAACATGCAGAAGATACGATTTCTGTGGCCTCGTCCTTGCACTCCAGTCCCCCTGCGTCTCCTCAAGGTTCCCATCGCAGAGGTGGGCTGTTCATGTGCTACCAGAAAACACTTGCAGCACAGGTTTTGCTTTTTTAATGTAGAGTAATAATGGGAAGTGTTAAAATCATCCCTAACTTTTTAAAATTTTCATGTTTTGCATTGAATTACAGGCAGTCACCAAGTTATGAATGTCCAGCTTAGTACAGCCCAGAGTTATGAACCAGTTCCATAGAGATGCTGTGTTAAAGATATGAAGTACATAAAATGGCTTCATAGTAATAGGTGCTGCTTTGCAATGCATTATTATTATTGCTGTATTACATTAACAATGTTTTTAATATAACTGAAGTGTTTCTTTAATGCATAAAGGTACACTATCTTATGTCAAGCATTTGACTGATGATTATACAAACTGTACCTAATTGTTCTAGCTGACATGCAAATTTGACTTAAAGACAGACTTAGGAGGGGAACTCATTCATAATTCAGGGACTGCCTATATTCAGATATGCTTCAGGTATTAAGTATCATATAATGAAGATGGTAGTATTCAAAGTATGGCACTTCTTGATATGCAGATAAAAATGAAGTCAGGCTTCAGAGTTGTTTTGTTCTATGCAGATTCTTAATGTTAGTGTAATTTGAATTTCTAAAATTTAAATATTTTATGGAATTTTGCAAAGAAGAATTTCTACAAGAAATTGTTTTGAACAAACTATAAGCTTTGGGGGAAAGTATTTAGGTGTATACATTAGTAAAGGAATATTACCTTTTTTAAATTGAAGCTGAAAGTAATCTACATCCTTGTAGATTTTTATATTTATACTGAGCCTCTTGAGATTTTCTCCTAATACAAAGTGAGGCTGTGTAATTTGCGTTTAGTTGTAGTTGCAGCTTGTCAGCTACACAGAGGAGTCCTCTCATTAAGGTTTATATTGCTCACTTTGGCTCCTCTGAGTTATCTGTATACCCAGGGGATCAAGGCTTCTTATTTGTGGATCTTTACAGATACAAAAGAACTGAATTTTTAAATAATAGCACAGTATAATACAGGGTCAGAGAAGTCCCGCTTATGAATTCTAGCAGGAGAGAGAAGCTTTCAGAGCTTGCCTCAGGGTCTGTGTCCTACATTTCATCTTACCCTTAAGAGAGCTCTCTTCTTTTTGCCACCTAAGTGGTATCGTGACATCAGACCTGAGTGAATCCTGCCTCTGTTCCTCAACAACTGTGTCAGCAGCTTTCTTCTAAGGTGGGTTTTCCTGTCAGGGGAAAATAAAAAAGACAACCGATTTTAGGTGCCTCACATAGATGATATAAGATAATGTTTCTGAAGCCTGGTGTTACTAAATTGGAGTTTCTCTTTCCTGATACCACCTGAAGGGCAACATACCTCCAGGACTCGCCTACCCTTCCCTCATTTGACGAAGCTGAAACGAGCCACAAGTTACACTCTCACTCTGGTTTTACTAAGAAAAACTTGGGAAAATCAAATAAGACATGTAAATAGTATATAGGAAACTCCCAGATTACAAGACTTTATTTTGAAAACTCTCTTGTAAGTTGGTTGTAATACAAGTCAAATGTCTCTTCTCCACCCCACCCCCTTCTTAAGGCCTGCTATACTGCAGGGTTTTGAGCAGTGTATCATAAAATTGAACATCTGAAGCTGACAATAATCAGCAAATCACCCACTACAACAATGTATGTAGTTCATATTACCAACACTAAGATGTACCAAAAAAACCAGGCTTTCGTTCCTAATGTAGTTCTTCATATGTACAGCACATTATTAAACCGGAGACTGCCTGTAGCTCATATCTGGTTTGTGAGACACACAGACCTGTTTCCTTCCTTGTCCATAGGGTCCTGCCCACAGTGCCTTTGATGAGATTTCAAGGAGTGGGTCTGGGAGCCATGCTTCCAGTCAGACAGATGGTCCAAATGAAGAGCCTTAGGGCTCCTCCACTGACTTCTGAATCCTCTTCTCTTTGGGAGGCTACTGTAGACATTTATCTCATTGGGAAACTGTTTTTTATGCTTCAATATGACTTGTGGGGAAGAAGCAGTAGGAACCGAAAATCTATTTTCAACAATAAATTCATTTCACCACTGGAATAAAGTCTTTTTTCTGTAGTCCCTTTCACTGTGTGGCTAACAATTGACCTTGGCCTTTATAGGTTTCTGAGCCAGCCACATAGTCATGCTCAGAAGCTTGAAGACATTTTTTATCTTCGAAGCTATTTCTGATTGTCATTATATATGTTCTATCAAAATGCCAACCCAATATCATATTTCTATTTACTTTCATTGACAGTTGTTGCCAGTAATCTGATCGAAAGAAAAATGTTATCATCGTACTAGGAGTATGTTATTAGCATCTGCTCCAAGTTCTTGCGAAAGTTTGCGATTAGTTCTTTGTTCCCCAACAACTAAAATAAGCCCATCTTCCTGCACTTATCTTCCCAGGGCATCAGGCACACAGCCTCCACCTCAGAGGCACAGCACATTTTAGATGTGCTATTTATATATCCTACTTGCTTTTAACTTTTTCTTAGTAAAATCTGCCTGAAGAGTCTAGAGAGTTGGTTCTGAGAGATAAATCTGGTCATATGAAATACTTGATATTTTTCCTATTTTTACCAACTTCCACGTGCTTTTTAAGTTTTTATTAACGTCTTATTTTGATCAAAGGTGAATCATTTTTCCATGTTCTCTCTTGCAATGACTAATGTTTATGCTATATTGTAGACTATCCGTTTAAAGATACTTTGCTAGAGTTCAACATTTTAGACATTGTCAAGATGTTCAGATTTTTTAATTAGTGAAATGTTATATAAGCCAGACTAATTGTGATTCATTGGAAAGAACTGACTGACCATGTCAGGGTTTTTGCATCTCTCTCTCCAGTTGGCAGTGTCCTATCTGATCACAGCATCCTGCTGCACCTCTCAGGGGTCTCCTCACCCCCTCCCGGGGAGTCCAGCACCACCATCAGTGGCCAGAGCTGCCCCGGAATAGGTGGGGCTTACTTGCAAAAGAAAATTCTCCAGATTACCAGGAGCACAGCCAAAAGAACAGACAGGACCCTGAAGGCCACTGAGGAGAATAGAGACAGGACTATTTGTGAGAACACAGCCAGGAAGAGAATGACCTCCCCGTTTAGAAGATTTAGGGAAAGAACTCTTTCAAGGGAGAGAGTAGCCAACAGCAAAAAAGAGGACGCAGATCACAATCAAGCACCAGAAAGCTGTGAGACAGTAAAGGATGTTGGAGGCAACATCAGAGAGGAGAAAAAAGGGAGTGGCGTCTGCAACTCAAATAGCCAAAGCCACAGTAACGTTTTAAACTGCTTCCACACGCGGTTCAAGTCTAAAAGGAGAAAGACGCTGTGAACGAAGTTCCAGATTTAACTTTTAGTGTTAAATTTGTTTTCCGTTATTAATGTAAATGTAGCTTATAAATTAAGTTTGTCAAACAAAGCCGAGGCAGACAACTTAATATTATGAGCGTGTTACGATGAGTATTACATTACGGGTCCTCTGGCAGCAAAGTAAATACTGCTTTAAAGTGCCTTTTTGTATAATGTTATTTTTCTACTGTATTGAGTTAGTAAAGTTTATTCTGTTGTCTTCTGTAGTTGGCTTTATTTCTTCTCGGTAGCAGATGAGTCTGTGAGTGACTGACGTAAGGAGAAGAAAAGGCGTATAGAAACCAATGTGCACTTTCACTATAAACTCCCAACTCCCAAGAGTGATCTCTCTGGTCAGAATAGTTGCCTTGGAGATTTTTATTACTCTTGTTTTTCAACTACTTTATAAACAGAAGAAAAGAAGTATTTTGAGAGGCAAGAAAATGCCTCTCATCAACACATTAGCCTCTTTTTTTTTTTTGGCCAAATGTTTCTGATGAGTGAGAAGAGAGTAAAACAGCAAGTTCACAGTCTTCTGGGTAACTTACTTGGAAATGCAATCAGGGTGCCCCACCCAGACCCTGTAAATCTGAATGGCTAGAAACAGGCCCAGGAAGGTGTCTGTTAATAAACTTTTCGGGTGATTCTTTGAATTGATTATATTTGGAAAATATACTGATGTATCAGACATAGGGATGAAATTTTAAAAATCATTTTATTGGGGGCTCATACAGCTCTTACCACAATCCATGCATTCTTCCATTGTGTCAAGCACATTTGTACATATGTTGCCATCATCATTTTCAAAAATTTTCTCTCTACTTGAGCCTTTGGTGTCAGCTTATTTTCCCCCTTCCCTACCCTCCCTCCTTCATGAACCCTTGATAATTTATAACATTTTTTCAATGTTTTACACTGACCAGTGTCAGTGATCTCTATATAACTGATCACAATGATCTATATATAACCCCCTCCCAGAAGGACAGACAACAGAAAAGTGGGTGATGGGAGACATCAGTCAGTATAAGACATGGAAATTATTTTTAAAACAATAAAGCAAGTTTGTTAGTCCATATAATTTTTTAAAAGGTGTTTTTTTTTAATTTGAGAATATTTCCCTTTTTTTTCCCCAAAAAATAAAACTTTAAAAGAAGTCAAGGGACTTCCAAGTTTGATTGCTTAAGAGACACCAGACGCTCCACCTCAGAGCTACAACCGCATCAGAAAATATGCTTTGTTAACATGGGATTAGATGTGCTATTTATATATCCTATTTGGTTTTGACTTTTTCTTAGTAAAATCTGCCTGAAGAGTCTAGACAGTTACTTTTGTTTATATTCCTTTTCTTGGGCCTCTTGAAAATTGACAAATCAATTCATGAAGGGTGCTGATAAACAGCCATGATCCCAAGTTCAGGGAACTAGAGTAGGAGTCCGGAGGCTGGCTCAGCTTCTGAGTGAAAGCAAAGAAGGGCATTGGATCTTAGATGGTTGTCATCCTCATCAGCTGACGTGCGAAGACGTTGCGGTTGGTTGCTAAGTGCTATCAAGTCAGTTCCTCCCCCTGGAAACTCTGCCCCATAGAGACACTGCCCAGTGCTATGCCGTCCTCACTCACACTTGTTTTATATGAGCCCCTTGTGGCAGCCACTCTATCAGTCCATCTCATTAAGGGTCATCCTATTCTCCTAACCCTCCATTTTAGCAAGCATGATGTCCTTCAGGAACTGGTTCCTCCTGAACATGCCTAGAATAGGTGAGAGAAAGTCTGAAAATCCTCAATTCTAAAGAGCATTCTTTAGAGCTATATTTCTTCCCACACAAATGTGTTGGTTCTTCTGGAAGTCCATGCATTGACTGCCATGAATTGGCTGCGAAGGTCAGCGGTTTGAAACTACCAGCTGCACTGTGCACAGCCCTAGTCAGCAAGTGTCACTGGTTCTGTGAGAATCTCAATGCCATGCCCAAAGCCTCTGCTGCTTCTTAGTGAGATTTCCGGGGCATGACAGGCATCATGTAAGGCAGTCCCTGGTTTCCGGACAAGTTTTGTTCCTAAATCTGCCATTACACTGAATTCAGACAAAAGTCACAACAGTTAGGTACAGATTGTATCTAACTTCACCCAGTCAAATGTTTTGTCTTAGTATTGAGTGCACCTTTCTATGTACAAAAAAACTGGCTTTTTCCTGAGCTATTTAATATGATACTCTACAAAGTTTGTGAAAAAACAAAATTAAATCCAAATCTAAAATAATTTATTTTAAAATACTGAGAACACTTGACTCTCAACTAAGGAGCAGGGCTTCTTAGGTTCACGGCAGAGTGTCGGAGGGAGGCATACCCATAAGCACACCTCAGAGTTATTGTGGGTTCAGATACAAACAAAACATGTTGTAGCACATGGAGTCACGTGACTTTCCTGGTTTCCAGTGCGTACCGAAGGTTCATTTATATCATAGTGTGGTCTATTAAAGGTGCCCTGGGGCCATACCCACTCCAAGGGAAAAGACCAGACCGGGCTTTCTACTCCCATCAAAACATGACAATCTCACAAACCCACAGGGGCAGGTCTACTCTGTCCCACAGGGATATGAGTCAGAATGGAGTCAGTGGCAGAGAATGGGGTGTCTCTGTCATGTAAGCAGTGGACCGCTAAACACAAGATGGGCAGTTCAAACCTACCAGCCAGTCTGCAGGAAAAAGATGAGGCTGTCTTACTCCTGTAACGATTTATAGCCTTGAAAACCCTATGTTCGGTCAGAGCCAACTTAGGGCAGAGAGTTAGGTGGTCTATCAAGTATGAGATAGCATTATGAAAAAGTATGACATGAGAATTACCAAAATGTTACACACATACGCTGTTGGAAAAACGGCCCTGGTAAACGTCGCTCAATACAAGGTTGCTACAAACTTTTAATTAGTTAAAAAAAAATGTTTAAAACAGTAAAAGGAAGTACAGCCATATGAGGTATGCCTCTAGTTTTGAAAAACCAAAAGTATGTTTTTTTTTCTTTGAGTCCCGACTCTCATGTCCTACTCTACCACAAATGATATTTTGGACCTTCTGGTCAGGGCCAGAAATATTTATGTTTATCAAAGGAAGGGCCATGGAGTTTTTTTAAAGGTGAGAAACTAAAGAGTGGGTTTAAAACTTTTCATAATATATTTCTTGTTTTAGTAAATGCTTAGAGCATAACTATGAGGCAGATACTAGGATGGTGGGGTTTGGGGAGCTTTTTTTTTTTCTTTTGCAGTAACTGGTTGACTTTCTATTTCTTGAGTCTAGAGTTGGATTAGTGTGGGGAGGCAGGTGAGTGGATGTTGTGGGAATGTGTGTGTGGTGGTGGTTTTAAAAAGGTGCTGCTACACCTGCATAAATGCAAACTCAGTCTGCCCTGCACTTTGTCTTTTGTCCTTGGCCCTCGCTGCATCCCCACCTGTTTCCTGCTCTGTGTGTTTTATCAGTGGTCTTCTCTCCTTCAGGTTGTGCACTTATACCATCAGCTAAATCTGACAACTTGTCCGACTCCAGCCACAGCGAGATCTCTTCCCGCTCCAGCATTGTGAGCAACTGCTCTGTTGACTCCATGTCTGCAGCCCTGCAGGATGAACGGTGCTCCTCCCAGGTTCCGGCCATCCCAGAATCCACTGGGGCACTGGAGAAGGCAGAGCCCTCCTCAGGGATGGGAGACCATGGCCAGCTTGGCGCTGGGTGAGCTTCCCTGCTGGTGTTCATGTCACAAAACTCAAATCACTTGGCCACCACTAGCGTGGCTCTCCACTTAGTTGGCCCTAGAGACCCAAGGGTGGTTGGAAAGAGACCCATAAAAGAGGATTCTCAGTCTGGCTTGCAGAAGACTGTAGAAGACGGTGGGAGCCCAAGATTCATTTATGAGAACTCCATAGGAAGTAAGCCTTGACTTCCCTCTATCCACAATTGAGGGATGGGACGCTAGTGGTTACTAAACAGAGAGATGAGCACACAAAATCAAAGGCATAAATCTGACTTAAACATTTAAAACCTTGTCAATTGATCCTGCTCTCATGCATGCTGGACTTGATTTGGTTTTCAGCAACATCTCCATTTTTGTTTTGTTTTGATTTTGTATGTGCATATTGGGATGTATCTCAGGCAGGGGTGTTATATCACTGGAGGTGACACAACTGCACCCTCTTGAAGTTGTGTCATGTTGTTCTGTGCGTCGGTAGATGAAACCCAGGCTTGATGAACCTATAGGGACAGCAAGTAGAATAGGGCTTGGGGGTGGAAGGTAAAAGGAGACGATGTATCAGCTGTGCCACTGCCAAAAAAAAGGGGAGACGATGTCCTGAAGTCCAGGAAGAAAAAGAATGTTTGGAAACTGACTGTGGTAGCAGTTGTACAGTTCTCCTTGACGTGATTAAACTATGGAATGATATGATATATGCAGTAACTCCCAATTAATAATAAATTTAAAATAAAATTTAAATATAACAGTAAACAATATTCTCTATACTGACTATGCAAATAAATACTTGTGTGAAAAATATATAGGCACTCATATTTAAAACATTACTGAATTGATAAAAGCTTTCTTTTACTATGGATCTTTTAGAACAATAAGAACTATTAATAGGGGGGAGAATGATTCTTGAACTTCTGGGAGACTGACAATGCTTAATTCTTGGTTTCTGAAAGTGTAATTTGGGGAGAAGAATCACCTTGTAAAAGTCCCCAAAGGCCCACTCCTTTTTTTTAACTTTAGTTGTAAATTTTGTTATAACCAAACAAAATGGAAATCTTAAAGTATTTCTGATAATTTATTTAAAACTGATAAATACTTATTAAATCCATATAGAGTGTAATAAAGTATTATCCTACTTATGAAGATTTCTAAATGGTGATCCTCTATATTAGGGATAAGCAAACAGTGTAAAAGTTTAGGTGATGATGTTGTTGGGGGCCATCAAATGGGTTCCAACTCATAACAGCCTCAGGCACAGCAGAAGAAAACACTGCAGGTCCTGCACCACCCTCACAGTAAAGGGAGGAGAGTAGGTGAGACAGTGTTTCACTTTGCCAGCCACGTGTTCTTCGACAGCTGCTCACCTCTGCCCTTGCTGCACCAGAGTAGTCACAGATAAGGGGGAACAACAGACATGGCCTTGGAGTCACTGAAACAGGCTCAAGGACAGGCCAGACTCAACCTGAGCCCTGGTTGATACTAGAAATCTAGCATTCTTAAACTTTCTGTATAAAATGGCAGACAATAAATTTGAGACTTTACAGGGTTGTACTTGCTCTGTCTCAAATTCCTTGCTTTTTTTTGTTTGTTTGTTTCATTTAACCCTTCCGATTATAAAAACCTTTGTTCCAGACGATCTCAAAAGAGGTGGTTGGCCAACTTTGACCTTTGTACCCCTTGGTTTGTTCCAGGGGATGAGATTATAGGTATAGGTAACACTAGTAATCAGGCTTGGGGTTTGCTTTTTTGGTTTGTTGCAGGTGATGAGGTTAATGTACAGGTAATCAGGGGACATTGCCATTTACTAAGCGCCACACTCTGATCTTGGAGCCCTGGTGGTGCAGTGAGGAAGCACACGGCTGCTAGCTGAAAGATAACCATTTGAACCCACCGCTCTGTGGAACCGACATGGCAGTCTGCTTGTGTAAAGATTTCAGCCGGAGAAACCCCTGGGCAGTTCTGCTGTGTCACGTAGGGTCGCTGTGTGTCAGAACCACTGACGGCAGGGCATTTGGTGCTATGGGCCTCTGCTCACCTCAGATGTACCTGGCAAATCAAAACCAGGGTTCCTATAGATGGGGGTTCTTCATTCTGTATGCCTGGGGATCATTCTAATGTTGACTTCCCAAGAACAAAATATACACCTACCTTTATGAATTTCAAGCTTCATCCTTGCCTTTTTATTTTAAATCAGTTGGAGGAAAATTCTGAGGACACCTGGCTAAGCATCAGAGCATCTTCCGCGGCTGTTACTTCCAGCCAAGTGGTAGTAAAAACGTGAATAGCAACAGCAAGTTTAGTAGTGACTGATGTCTGGTGTCAGCATTTTCATGGGCTTGGTCTAATGTGAACATCCACTTTTAACTGTGTATTTCTCCAACGCTAGGTGGCCACTCTCAAAGCCCCCCCCAGTCAAGGGGGGTCTGGCAGTCTCGTCTTCTCTGAGCAGTGAAGAGATTTCTCATGAGCATATCATTATAGAAGCAGCCGACAGCGGTCGTGGAAGTTGGACTTCCTGTTCCAGCAGCTCCCACGACAATTTCCAAAACCTCCCAAACCCCAAAAGCTGGGATTTTTTAAATTCCTATCGGCATACTCATTTGGATGGCCCCATCGCTGAAGTTGAACCCACCGACCATGAACCCTGCTGCTGTCCTAAAGGCTTCTCTAGAACTTGTGGTCACTGCAAAGGAGGCCTGGAGACTAATCCGTTGAGACAGAGCTGGGCCTCCTCCAGTTCTCTGCCGGACACCTGTGAACCAAACTACGGGACTGTCAAACGGAAGGTCTTAGAGAACACCCCAGCTGAGTTGTCCGACGGCTCAGATGCCAAGGATGGCACTGACCCGACTTACAAAATGGTCACCTCAAGTACAAAAAAGGGTTTAATCGGTGAGTGTCGTGTCCTTTGTCGTATTGGTTGCTTTAAAGGTTAAGTGACAGGAAAAGAAGGCATTGGGCTATTGGGCCTTCACTCTAGCCTCTCATTTCACCTCTACAGACAAATCATTTCCCAAAAATTAGTGACTTCTCAAGGGGTTGGGTAGGTAGGTACTCACATTTGTTAAAGTGAACCAAAAACTGGTGATGTGTATTAAGTTAGGGGTCCAGATTTGTTTGCTATATTTTGTTTTCAATATTTTTGTTGTTTTGTTGGGGAAAATAATAGCATTGTTATGCATTCATAATAAAAGGAGTATTCTTTGTCACCCCCAAAATTGCTCGGACCACAGTTGCTTTGAATATGTGGTAGCAGCATTGAATCTGATACTACACTTAGGTAGTAAGAATGGGAGGCCATGTGATAAGGAAACTAAGGTTAAATACATTCTTCAAGAACATATCACAGATGTGCCCACTGCTGTTTGTCATTACATTCTAATCACATACACAGCAGTCTGTATTGAACTAAACAAATCCCTTTTTAAAAAATAATTTCCTGAATTACATAAACATACAGATGTAATACCTGCTTTTCTGTTTATGTGGGAAGAATATACTTTTTGTCAGTATTTTCCTAATTTGTAACTTGATAGAAGATTTGTAATGTTACATTTAATTAGCATGCAAAAAGAAAATGTTCTGGTTTTGCGGTTTCTTGTCAAATGGCATTATAGGCTGGGTTTTTAGCTCCTTCACTTTTTCCCAGGGTAACCACTAAAGGTCTGGTGGCACTATGGGTTAAGTTTGGGGCAGTTAACAGGAAGGTTACCGCTCCAGGGGAGAAAAACGAGGCAGTCTATTTCCACAACCATTTGTAGCCTTAAAAACCCCACGAAGCAGTTCAGCTCTGCCTTGCAGGCTCACCGTGGGTTGGAATGGACTCCACAGCAGTGTGTCTGTGCAAGTGTGTGCCGGGACATAAAGACTAGCTCTTGTCCGCCCACCCACGACAGGTGTGGCTGCATTGCTGCCATTCCCGACTGCCTCGACAGTTCACTGACATTCTCCACTCTTTGGTTTTGGCAAGCCGGCTCCTTATTTCCCCTGCGCCCCACCCTCAAATGGGAGTAGAAACACCTTTTAACCTTGATAGTATGTGGGAATTCTACTGGGGAAGTTGTGGAGCTTGCTATTTGGGTAAACCTATCCTCTAAAGGAGAGAAAATACTAAAATTAACTCAATTGCCCTCTTTTTAGTCGGTTCTGCTTTTGCATCGGTAGTGTTTATATAAAGATGGCTTGCATGATTGAGATAGTCAAACATTTGCCCTGTGAATCATGTGGATGAGGGTCAGTTTCCTAGAGTTTCCTTTTTACCTCGTTTCTGTTGCTTGTTGGAGTTTTGCTTTATTCATAGGGATTGCAGACTTAGGGAAAGGATTTTAAAGTTGCCAGCATATTTAATGTCCACTGAAAAGCAGGGAAATTTGATTCATTCATGAATTTCCTAAAATTGCCATGTTTTCTACTCCGCTTAATCACAAACAGTAATGACACATAAGGTCCTCAGAGGACAATGCCTTGGTACCAGGAAAGTGAACTTGGTGCCTGTGCCAGGACTGAGCGCGCTCTTCTGCCCGAGAATGCCAGCCAACAGTGGTCCTGGGCTCAGAGAGAGGGTGAGGCAGCAGCCTGCAGGTGGCCCAAGTGCCATTTTTGTGAAACCCCGCCAGGCCACCAGAGCAGGTGTTTGTGGGAGTGCTTCCGGTGACTGGCTCGGTGGGCTTTGGGCTGTTATTCCCGGAAATGTATCGAACTTGCGTGGTGTTGAACACTGAACTGCCAAAGGAAACTTGCCATCCCCGTCACCTCCTTTAGCTCGCATTTTATGCCCTCTCGCTAAACGGTGTATTGTGTCAGCATCGCCTCTTCACAAAGCGAGCAGGTGCAGCTTCCCGTAAAGAGAGACACCCTCGGAAACCCCGGAGCCACTGGGGCTGAGGTTGGGGTTGGGGGCCACTTTATAAACCGGTTTAATAAACACTACGTTTATTGAGTTTTCATATGTTCTAGATCTGCCATTGGTTCCAAATTTATTCACATTGTCTGTTTTTAAGTTCTATTTTGTCATTGTAGTAAGTTTCTGTTTGGTTTGTTTCTTTGTGTTTCATTTTTCATTAACATCTCCATTGATTGTTTTCCATGCCAGTGTACTGTGTCACCTCACCCAAGAAGGACGATAGGTATAGGGAGCCACCTCCCACCCCTCCAGGATACCTGGGGATTTCTTTAGCGGACCTGCAGGAAGGACCCCACCCGCACCTCAAACCTCCTGACTATAGTGTGGCAGTGCAGCGGTCCAAGCTGATGCCCAGCAGCCTCCCGAGACTGCCGCCCGCGCCTCTCGGCAGCAGCCCCGCGGCGGCCCGCGCCCCACGGAAGACGGGCGCTCTGCCCGAGCGGCGCGGCGCGCAGCCGGCGCGGCCCCAGCCCGCCGCTGGGCCGGACGCAGACAGTGACGACGACGACGGTACGTTGACCAACTGCCCTCAGGGCTCTGCCGTACAACCGTGGTGTGTTCTGGTCACCAGTGATGCTTTCTTGAAATCCTCAGAGGCCTTCTGTCAAATCTCTACGAAATCCCTCCAAAATGATGGTGTGTTTTCCAAGTGGCGACGCGAGCTGCTTGCTTGCACGTGCCCGTGCCCTCGTGGCCCAGATGGTGGTCTTGGCTTTGAGGGAGCAGCAGCGCCGCCTGGTGGGGTCACGCGGGAGCGGGCCTTTGGGCACCTGCAGAGCTGTGCTTCCACTTAACGACTCTAAATGCAGAACTATTGAACGCTTTCTTAAAATAAAAGTTTTATCCTTGTAAACAGCTGAGTGAATGATTAAAACCAATTATGAAAGAAGTTCCGGTTTATCGGCAGACAATTCGATCAGAGAACATTGGGGTCTTTACAGTAGAATCTGGGCCTTGATAAGATACTAATTGAAATTGACTTTCTAAGTAGAAGTTAATGTCTATAACTTGATTGTAAGTTGATATTCATGACTGCAGATCTACCCATTGGTTCTGTTTTTGTGCTTTTCAGAAGATGAACAGGTTTCAGCCGTCTAGTCGTTGGGTGGCCTGTTGGAAGGTCATTGGAAGTTCTCGAGGAACCGTGAGGCCCTGCAGGCCCTTGCCTACAAAGCGCTGCTGCTACTCCTGACCCGGAGGTTCCACTGCCTGAACTCTGAGCAGACGCCCTGAGCCCCGCTATATTTGTGCTTCCTCCCTGCACACGCAGCCTTTGCTCGGCTGCCCCTGCGGAGCCAGGTCCTCTCCAGTTTGCACACCAGACCTGCCTTGGGACCACTGTCTAGAGCAAATTCCAATTCCGAGTCATCCGGATGCACATGACCATAGTTGTTCCTTTAACGATGTATTTTATGTTAGTATTATTATTATTATTTCTGTGCCAGAGCTTGGGCTCATGCACAAAATTTAAATGTCTGCCAATGCCAAGGGTATTCTTGTGTATTTGAGAAGTAACTTATTTGAAGTCTTATGGTGTTGATTATGGGGTGGGGGGTGTCTCTGGTTAGCAAATGTGTGTGTTTATAATGGCCATCAGTCTGCCTTGGAGCAGAGCAGACGGCAGCCCTCGCCTTTACAGAGCCGGTTGGCTGTAACTTGTATTGCGCCTGTGCAATGTAGAGTTTAGGAAGCCTTTGGGGCTCAGGTGTTAGGGAGGACAATACTGCCATCTCGTGGTCTCAGTTTGGAAGGCCAAATGAAGCTGAGGCCTTGTCAGTCTTTAGGGGGAAGGGGGTGGGATTGGGTTGGGTAGAACTGTTGATTTCCCAAGAATGAAATTTTAATGCTAAATTATCTATATTGAGTCTGCTCTGAAGTGAAAATCATGTTACTGCCAATTGTAACTAGAAGTATAAATCCTGATGAATTCTAGAGAGTTAATTTTTCTGGACCATAGGAACCCAAAATTCCCAATGTCTACGCCAGACATGGAGCGTTGTCATTTTAAAGATGACGTCCACGCTGAGGAGGGTACTCGAGAGATGAATGCGCTCACACACGGCGTTCCGTGTGGACCAACGCTCTTCATCCATCTCAGGAACTCCCGCGCGATGGGACTTCTCGAATGATGGGACGTCTCATCTGCTCACCTTTGTCATCGCGGGGGATTTGGGTGTGGGGAGAGGAGCTAGAGTTAGGACTCATTATCTTGTTTCTCAGGGTAGCCCCGGAGGACATACCTTAGCAGCCTGTTCAGCATGGATTGATCTCATAATTTAAGTATTTAATTAGAATTTGAGTGACTTATTTCCAGAATGAACTCAATTTTTTCTCCATTCACATTTTTAAAAAATGAAAGACAATTCTCTTTATCTTAAGTTTAAAGTGTCTTCTTTTTTAATGTAAAGCTAGAGTGAAGTTTTAGTAAACTTCTGTTATTACCAAAAAAAAACAAAACGCCAAAGCCGCTGATCGACGGAGCCGTGATGGATTGACTCCCGAAGGTTGGCTGTACGTGACCTGGAGGAAGGTCATTGGTTCTGTGGTTGCCTTCGTAGGCGTTCTCTTTTCTCCCAGCGCCTCTCCCCTTCCTTCGCTGCACCCTCCCCCCTTTCATCGTCCAGCCGGCATCCACTGCTGCGTTGATTGGTGAACAGTAGTTCGGTCCGGCCCATCAAAATGATTGTCTGCTCTCTATAGGGAGAATAGCAAGCCTGAACAATTCACCCGAAGGATCGATGTTCATCTGAAATGCAAGCCTTAGAAATTAGCCCAGAGACACTGGAGTGGGCTGGCCAGCTCCACCACGTCCTTGGTCCATTGAGCTGGGCGGCAGCAGGCTCGGAAACCGGTGTGAAGTCACTGGCCTCTGCACACAGGTCACGAGGCTGGGTCTTTCCTCTGAAAGGCCGACTTTTTTTTCTTTCACCAATTTACACGGACTGGTTTTGTGTCCATGCAAACCACCAAATGTGAAAACTATTTTTGCTATAACCACCTTTTTTTATCAAGTTTGGGCATTTATTTTCACCATTTTGTATCCATAACTCCGGGAAAATGGGCTGTTCGCACGGTTAGCAGATCTTTCACACCAGGTGGAAGCCATACTCCTCCTCGTCCTTAATGGTGTAGATAGTAGCGCGTGCGCGCAGAGAGCTGAGGTCTTTGGTCTGGGATGGACCCCCTCGTCGCTGCCTTTGCTTGCTCTAGCTTTCACTGTTGGAATCTACTGATCACATTGATCAGAAACTAAAGCCAAATGCTTTGTAGGCCCTGCAAAAAGTCATGTTTGGATTTTTGTTTTATTTGCATGAAAGGTACAGAGACACCCAGACCTGTCTTTGCTCCGACTCCAAATTCCCTGTTGGTTTTGTTTTTTTTACGTTTACAACCTTCCTGCAGAGACTAGCAGTCTCTCATCCCACCACAACTTCACTGGGAAGATTGAAACAGTAAACCCTCAGTGCAAACTTCTGCCAAATCATAAGTTTCCATAAAGCAATCTCTTGAAAGTGAAAATGAAAAAAATTGGAGAATTAGTAAATCTCAGGCTTCCATAAATATTTGTTATTAGTAATAGATTCTAATTTCCTCCAAGTGATGTTTTTCAGTATGATAGGTAGCCGGGGAGGGAAGCCGTTGGCTTTCCCTGCAGACTCTCCCCAGGCTGGCCAGGTGGCACTTAGCCCTGCCGCTGTGAGGAACAAGCCCAGTTTCATCATGCGTTCTCATCCCCACAGAAAGAAGAGCGAGAAACCGTCTGCTTGTGGACTTAAAACATTCTGATATAATTTTAAATTTCTAAATAATATACTGTTGCAGATGTATCCCTTGAAAGGTTAGAAAAGGGGGAGAAATCTTCCCCAAAGCGTCACTGCAGTGTTTTCATACTTAAACTTGAACCCCAGCTGATCTTTAGCTTTTGTTGTTTTTGTTTATTTTGCTTTTAAGGCTTCTTTATTTTTTTATACAAGGAATGCAGTTGATCTTTTAAAATCTAAAGGTGAGCTTATCAGCAAAAGTCAAAAACCAAACTGCACAGTTGGAATAATTAAATAGCAACTATACTGCACAATTCCGTGATTGTAAAGTAGCCTGTAAGAAGCAAGGTTTGTCACCTATTTTTTGATACCTCTTAAACTTATGTCTTTTAGAAAGACAGTGCCTCTGTATGCTTTTTGTATTTTTACTGAGTGTAAATATTTGTTATATTTTTGGTTAAGAGAATGTAAAAGTACCATTTATTATCATATCTACTAATACATTGGTGGAATCAATAAAGAATGTACATGAAGCCTCCATGCACTTGATCATGAGTGAGTGTATAGGGCGGGTGAGACAGTCACTCTGGGCCCCTGTCGGGTGTGGAAACCTTACTTTAGCGGTCTTCAGAGAAACGGGAGCACCCTAGTTAACCCTGACCTTATGAAGTGTGTCAGAACATCGAGGTGGTTGTCTCTTTACAAAAAGAAAGTTTGATTGCAAACCAGATAAGTCATCTAAATTCCACTGGGGTTTGTTTTCAGCCAAGTAATTGATGCCTCACACAAAACTGGGATTCTTTCCTGCCTGTGCCATGCCTGTAGAAGGTGACGTAAACTCTGCCAATTCTCTTAGGAGGTCAGTTCTCAGGGCCTTGGCAACATCGAAGGAAATTCTGCCTTAACATCACTTTCCAAAACCTCCCAACCTTCCCTCTCCATCCAAAGAATATTATTCCTGTGAAGCTAAGCCTTCTGTCTTTATCACGTCTCCCTTCCAAACACAATCCCGGTTTTCCCAGGCCTCTCGGGGAGTGGATTCGCGTCCGCTGACTGAGGAGGAAGAGCGCTCCAACAACGGGAGGGTTCATCCCTCCCCCTCGTTCACCGTGTCCACTGCCCGCAGGGCCACTGTTGGAGGTACTGGGTAATGCTTTGTGGTGGCTCCAAACAGCAGAGCTAAAGTACCAGGTTGTCATCCTGACCATAAGCAGGCATCCATGTATAAAGCTTAGAAACAACTCTCTCTGTGATGGAACAATCAGACCAAAGAACAAGCACAATGCAGACAGACACATGGGACAACAATTCACAAGCCAGTGGACTGGTTTAGAGCACTTCAAACTACTGCAGAACTCACATTATTTTCAGGTGAACATGGTGCATTTATCAATATAGGTTAAGCCATACGTAAACTGTAATATTTGTAGAAAAAGTTGAGATCCTATATCTGTGATATAATTGAGTTAGGAATTAGTAAGATGTACTCCTAAATCGCATGCTTATGAACTGAATGAAGACGTGGCTATCAACATTTTGGACATAAAAGCAATGGTCCCAGGGAATGATGTCGCCTTATACACATTATGAGATTAGAAAAGAGGTTCAGCCAAGCATTCTCAAGAGGCCACATGTTAATAAACCCAAATCAGAAGAAAACAAATATGAAGACGTTAATGTAATGCATATAAATCAAAACGGATTACATACTAGAGCAACAAGTTGGCTCCTTGAAAAAACTAATAAAATCAAACTAAACCATCAGGAATGAAATAGAATCATTGAAAATCATTTGAAAATGTAAGACATGATGGATGTTATGGTAATATGGAGGAAATAAATTCATTGGGGAACATGCATACCTAAAAGGAAAATTCAGTAGCTATAAAAGAATTGGGGAAATTGTTAGGGGACACAAAATGGCCACAGCGGCACAACGGGCGGTCGAGCAGAATGTGGAAGTCGTGTCTGCTCCGGGCAGCTGCTGATACACGGGGCCCCAGCCCAACCCTCTGTGACCGGCAGCCCAGTCACCTGTGCTGAGCCTTCCTGCAGGCCTCCTTTCTGCCTCTGGGACCCCGTCATGGGGGTCCATTCGGCCAGAGAATAAAGCCCTCTCTCGCTAGCATTGCAGACCCCAGAAGGCGAGAGAGGGCCTCGTTCCACCTGGACCCATGGACTTAGCCCCCAAGGCACCAGGATTCTCTCCCCAGAGACCAAGGTGCCCACGGCCTTTCTCCCCTTAGTGATTTGAAAGCTGTCCCCACGGCCCCTGTGCTGCATACACGTCCTGCTGCCACTGCTGCTTTTGTGTCAGACTGTACCGACAAAGTAGCTTTCATATTCCCCTTTGCAAATGAACAACTCACATCTATATCTGAGTGTGCAATAAAATCATTGTCCCCCCCAAAAGGAATTGTTAGGTGCCTTCGAGGCAGTTCTGGCTTTATAAGGACCCTATGCGCATCAGAACCAAAACACTGCTCAATCCTGCACCATCTTCATAATGATTCCTAAATTTGAGCCCATGGTTGCAGTCACTGTCTCAATCCATCCTGTCCAGGACCTTCCTCATTTCTGCTGCCCTTCTAACCAAGTATATCCTTCAGGGCCTGGTCTCTCCTGACAACATGTCCAAAGTATGTGAGACTGGGGGGAGGGGAGGAGGACAGTGGGGGGGGGGAGCCAGCCCCCCACAACTAATCACAGGTTCAGTAAGCACAGTTGTATGGTTAAAATATAAAGATTATAATAAAGTCATAGAGTAATAGAGGGGAGAGAGTAAAATAAAGAAGTCAGACATTTCATGGTAGCATGCTCACCTCTTGGATGGCCATGGTTTCGATAGCCAGGTCCACGCACAGCGCTGGCAGAGGGCAGGAGAGGGGGATTTATTGCTAATCAAGGCTTATATATCTTTGGGGGCATGCATGCCCCTAATTACAGGTAAAGTCACAGGAAGGGGCTGTACACTAGGCCTAAGTGGAACAGGAAGAGGATGAGCTAGGGGTGCACACATAATAGGAAGAGGAGGGACTAGGGGTATACATGTGAAAAGAAGTGCGGACCCTAGACTCAACATGGCAGCCTAACCTTGGTAATCCTTGAGTGGAATGGGCTTGACTTCCCTGGGCTCTCCTTCAGGAAAACAATCTACTACTATCCTTATCAGAAGAGAGTGGGCCCTACTTAGGGTGGGACAGACTGTACAGTCTGGTTGCTCTAGATGGCCGATAACCCTTTGGGAGAATAACCTCTGACCTACTTTTGTTGACCAAGTGTATAGTCATTTACCATGTGTAGCAAGCCCCTAGGTTTGGCATATATTTGGGGGAGACAACTTGGGAGAAATATTTCTGTTTCCCACAAGAGACAAAGTCCCACCATCTTTGCCTCTAAAAGAGCATTCTGGCTGTACGTATTCCAAGACAGATTTGTTTGTTGTTTTGGCAGTCCATGGTAATTTCAGTCGGGTACTTTTCAATATTTTTCACCAGCACCATAATTCAAATGCATCAATTCTTCTTTGGCTTTCCTTATTGAATGTCTAACTTTTACATGGATAGAAGACAATAAAAAATACTTGGGTCAGGCTGTACCTTAATCCACAAAGTAACATCCTTGCTTTTCCAACACTTTAAAGAGGTCTTGTGCAGCAGCTTTACCCAATGCAATGTGTCACTTGATTTCTTAACTGCTGCTACAGTGAGCATTGATGTGGATCCAAGCAAGACAAAATCCTTGAGTGTCAATCTTTTCTCCATTTATCACAATGCTAGCTATATTGGTCCAGTGGTGAGGATTTGGGTCTTAGTGACATTGAGTCATAATCCATACCAAAGGCTGCAATCCTTGATCTTCATCAAGTGCTTCAAGTCCTCACTTTTCAGCAAGCAAGGTTGTGATACCTACATATTGAAGGTTATTAATAAGCCTTCCCCCAATCCTGATGCTAAGTTCTTGTGTTAGGGTTCTCTAGAGAAACAAAACCAGGACACTTATGATTTTATATGTATGTATATATATATATATATATATGATTTTGTATATATCCATATATATGATTTTGTATATATCCATATATATGATTTTGTATATATCCATATATATGATTTTGTATATATCCATATATATGTGTGTGGATAGATACATACAGCATGAAGGAATATAACAATTAGTCCACACAGCAGTACAGAGGGCTCAGTTCAACTCACTTTCGTGAAACAGTTCATATACTGGAAGTCCTTCAACTCACCAGGGCTGCTGGGTGTCCAAGGTCAAGGAAGCAGACAGCTGAGTCATCCTTAGAATAATACAGGTAGTCCAGTCACAGGCAGCAAAGAGTAGGGTGGGTCACCAACAGTCAACCAGACGACAGTATCCGACAGTCCCAAGCTCAAGCGATGTATACACCAGCAGTGTGGCAAAGCAGGTCTCAAAGGAACCTCAAGCTCTAGTGCAGCGGTTCTCAACCTGGGGGTCAAACGACCTTTTCACAGGGGTGGCCTTAAACCATCGGAAAATACATATTTCCGATGGTCTTAGGAACCGAGACATGGTTCCTCTATCTGTCTCCAGGAGGGTCCACCCACATGCAGATATGTTGATCTAGTGAGAAATAAGCTATCTCAACCTTCACACTGATGTTGGCTTCTTACGCATAATGTCACAAAATGTAGCAGTGTCGTTTACTGTTATATTAAGACTGTTACCCATGCTACACCAGGCTTCAAGACAAAATTGCATTTACTTGTAATTAGAAATAAATATTTCACAATATATAATTGCATATTTTTATGTGATTAATCACTGCTTTATTTATGTTCAGTTTGTAACAATGAAAATACATCCTGCATATCAGATATTTACATTATGATTCATAACAGTAGCAAAATTACAGTTATGAAGTAGCAACAAGAATTTTATGGTTGGGGATCACCACAACATAAGGAACTGTATTAAAGGGTTGCAGCATTAGGAAGGTTTAGAACCACTGCTCTAGCGACCCTTGAGTTGGGTGTGCCATGGGTAGTGTAGCTCACAAGTTGAGGCAGAGAACTAGTCACACACTGCTCTGATCGCCAGACAGCAAGAGAGAAAAGCAGGGCTCACCAAACCATTTATCTCTGCTCTCCAATCAAACTGCGACCTTATTAATTCCACATGTTCCTATTAGCCAGGTTGGCACAATAAACCTACCTATCATAGTTCTTCATGTAGTCCAGCTTCTCTATGATTTGCTCAATATACAGATAGAACAAGTGAGAGGGTACAACCATGATCCACACCTTTCCTGATTTTAAGCCATGACATATTCCCTGTTGTATTCACACCACTGCCTCTTGATCCATGTGGTAGTTACACAATTTTATGTCACCTTGAGAGAAGAATGAAGGGGTGAAGTCTACCCTGTCAATCAGGTCACACAGCCTGATGATTCCTCCTTGTGGGCATGGCCTTCTCATGAGGATTCTGGCCAGAACCCTGGAGATGCATCCACTGCCGTTGGATCCACAGGACTTTTCACCCACCAGCCTGCT